GCTCTACTTCTTAAGAATCAGCTTGCCTTAATTAATTCTATCCATAGCAGCCATGGCCGAGAAGGTTGGTGCTAAATTAAAATCAATTCTTTCTCTGCATGCATGGCATATATATATACATATAAGGTGATTGACGTTCAATAATATATATGTATATCTAAACATATATTCTTTTACAGGGGACAATAATGGTGCTCGATGTGGACCTACAGTGCTCAAAATGCTACAAAAAGGTCAAAAAACTTCTCTCCAAATTTCCTGGTGAGTCTCTTTTTCCGTACGTATTGAATAAATTGATTAGCGAAATGGACTGAGTCGTTGTGTTGTGAACAAATTAATTAAAGAAATACGAGATCAGGAGTATGATGAGAAGGCGAACAAGGTGACAATCAAGGTGGTGTGCTGCTCGCCGGAGAAGCTCAGGGATAAATTACGCTGCAAGGGCGGTCGATCCATCAAGAACATTGTGATCAAAAAGCCAGAAGAGGCTATCCTCCAAAGAAGGAGAAGGAAGAAGATAAGAAAAAGAAAGAAGATAAGAAAAAGGAGGAAGAGAAGAAAAATCCTCCAGAGGGGAAGAAAGCCGAGAAAATCAAATTTTGTCCACAATCATGTAAACATGTCGTTGCCTGCTCCATCATCTTCAACCTACTTGACTCCGTATGTTTAATTACATGTATGTGTGTTAATTTTGCTTTCCTCAATCAAGTACTACTCTTTTTCTTTTTCTTTTTTTCTTGTTCCTACTTAGTTCTTAATTAAGAAAAAGAACAATAAGATCAGTGTGTTCTGTGAATTATATTTATATGTATGATGCACGGGATAATTTTGTTTATAACCAGAAATGTATGTTATTTTTATTTCTTAATTAAGAATTGTAAGAGTGCTTGCGTTTGGTTTAAATAAAAATCATTTGTATTTTACTTTTTTTTTTATCTTTTTATTTTTTAATTTATTATGTACTAGGATTTTTTTTTTTTGAAATTTGTTATGTACCTTCATTTGCTATCATTTTCTAAACAGCCGCATGGTGAGCAAAGGGTAAACTACTCTTTTACATTTTACCTAAAAAAAAAAAAAACAATAGTTGACACAATTTCTTGATTTGAAAGTCTACAAAGGATGATAAATCTCCTCCATTCATACTAAATAGATAAATAGTTAAGATTTTGAATAAATAATATATGTAAATAGATCTTAATTTATAATTAATTTATAATTTTATCAATTTAATAATTAATTATTGAAAACCTCACAATAATATGATTATAACATTAAATATAATTGTAAGTTTACAATCATAACTCAGAAACCTATTGGAATTGGCTAAAATGTTAGTGAGTCAGTCGAATGATCATGTTAAAAATGTGGGTTTGAATCCCTTTAATGCCATTTGTGTTCAAATAATATCAATGGTTCATGTCCACTACCCGTCAAATTAAAATTTTATTGGATACTTCTAAATGAAATGATTTACAAGTGTCTATAATTAAAATTAGTTGAGTAAAAGATCTAAGTACTCATATATATATATATATATATATACACTGAAAACGATGGTTACAAGTTACAAGCGATTTTATGGCTACACAATCATTTGCTATTGACACACAAAATATTGTAAATTTCTTTATGTTGTCTAATTTTACCAATCCACTGCTGCTAATGTACTTGAAGACATCAATTTATAAGTTGATTTTAAATTGTTAAATAAAAAATACAAGTTGTTGTCATAACTTAAAATTAAAATATTGTTTCGCATTTTAATAAAAAATTTTATTTAATAAAAAAAATACTAGAGATATATAAAAAATTAAAAAATATATTCATTTCTTAATTTTGTTAAAATTCTAAAAAAAAAAAAAAAAACTAGTTTCATAAAAAAAATTTAAAATTGTCAACAAAAGTTTTGCCTTTCCTCACTTTATTTTTCTGGCTCTACCTATGCGTGTGGTTTAGGATTTTGCTATATAATTTTTAATATTTTCTGGGGTAGTTCAGGAAGGATCTTGATTAGCTGTATATGAAAAGGTAAAACTAATAAGAGGCAGCACTGTGCAATAAAAGAGATTGGACCGTTCGGACCCACTAGTGGAAAAGCTAACATTGACGAAGACAATTGACTATTGTTGGTGCGTTAAATTAAACCAGAACCCCCTCCCTCGCCCGCCCTACTTATAAAAAACTTAGCTTGCCTTAATTAATTTTCTCCATAGAGCAGCTATGGCTGAGAAGGTTTGTGCTAAATTTGTACTACATTTTTTTTTTTTCTCTCTTTTCTGTGGGTGTTATATCTCTCTCTCTCTCTTGATGAAAATTAAGGATATATATATATATACACTTTTACAGGTGACAACAATGGTGCTGAATGTAGTGGACCTACAGTGCTCAAAATGCTACAAAAAGATCAAGAACCTTCTCTGCAAATTTCCTGGTGATGACTATCCCTTTCTTCGATTAATATTGTTCTCTCCTAATTAATTAATATATAATTTGTTAAATATAATTTTTGTACATACGATACACGTATATCAATTTATGAATTGATTAGCCAAATGGACTGAGTCGTTGTGTTGTGAACAAATTAATTAAAGAAATACGAGATCAGAAGTATGATGAGAAGGCAAACAAGGTGACAATTAAGGTGGTGAGCTGCTCGCCGGAGAAGATCAGGGAAAAGTTATGCTGCAAGGGTTGTGGATGCATCAAGAGCATTGAGATCATTCCGCCTCCATCGCCTAAGCCTCCGCCTCCGCCTCCGCCTCCGCCTCCGCCTCCGCCTAAGGAGGTGAAAGTATCTGTAGATCTGAAAGGCCAGGTGTTTTGTTATTGTAAATGCTGTAGCGGAGGGCCTTGGGGCTCATGTTACTGTGGTGGGCAAGTCCAATGCGTTCCGTGTCATGGGAAACCCGTTTGCGACAGCTGGAGCAGTTGTGGAGAAACTCAACCAGGCTGCTCATTCATGTAAATACTAATAATAAGACTCTGTTTGGAATCCAGCCAAGTTAAATCCAATAAAGTCTCAGCCTCCACCTCCGCCTCAGCCTCCGTGTAAGTGTAAACTATATGTAGATCTGCAACTCCAGGGGTTTCGTTGTTGTGAATGCTACAGCGGTTGGCTTGGGGGCCCATGTTCCTGTGGCGGGCGAGTCCAATGCGGTCTGTGTTATGGGATACCCGTTTACGACAGTTGGTGCGGGTATGGAAGCGGTTGTCAAGAAACTCAACCAGGTTGCTTAATCATGTAAATACTAGTGTTTGGAATCCTGCCAAAGTTAAGTCCAATAATAAGTAACTGTTGTTTTATGAAGTGTGTGTTTAGTGGACTATGCAGGTGGGTATTGTTTATTATAAAAAATGTATGTTACTTTCATCTTAATAAAGAATTGTGAGTGACACTTCCGGCCGCCCGCTAATTGAATTTTAATTTTTTTATTTAAAAATATTAATTTTATCAATTTTTAAATAAAAATATTAATTTTTAATTTTTTTAATTTAAATTTTAAACTTTTTTAATTTAAAAAACATTATCTTTATCAATTTTTAAATAAAAATGTCAACTTTCAATTTTTTCTATTTAAGGATTAATTTGATGATGATGTTAACATAATAAAAGTAATTTTTTAATTAAAATATTGAAAGGTTAGTATTTTTAAATAAAAAAA